CCCCTGAATAAAAAATATTTTACCTTAGCCAGTCGTTAAGATAAAAAAAAAAAATACCCTATACCATGCCAATAATTTTTCTTTGAGATATTAAAATATACTCTTATTCCACATTTGAAGCAGTTAAAATTGGAGGGGAATTGTAAAATCAAATGTTTAGGTTTTTCTCAGTATGGAAAGGGAAAAAAAGCTAAATTTGCTTCCCATCATTATGTAGCCAGGAGTGGTTTTGGTCTAGATATCTAACACTTTTCTACCAGAAAGTTCTGGCTTCAGCTGAGACACACCCTAACATATATCAGCTCCTCAGAGTGTTGTTGCTAATGCACAGCCCGACATGGGCGGTTGCTGGGAATGAACCTGTTCGGGAACTTTGATTTAGCAAAAGAAAGCGCTATTTGCAGGTCCAGGTGTCAGGTCACCTGCGATGGTCATGTAAGTTATGCACATTCAATCCAGGAGATGCTGTGTGTGACTCAGTATGTGACCCCACGCACTGAGTAGTACAGAGACAAAGTAAACTGCTCTTGGTCTGAAGTGGAGAGTGGTGGCGTTGGCTGGTGAGACAGTGAAAGGTCACTGGAGCACTGAGGTGTATTCTGGGCCTTGCTTCCCTCTTGCCGCCACTTCACACGGTGGTGCAATGACAAGACAGTGCAATGTCTAGTGGCATGCTACCTACCTAAAGCATCAGATTTTATTGAAACATAAAATACAGTAGGGAGTGGCCTGCTGGAGGTGTGATGGTTAAGGCACTGGACTCCCACAGGGTCAACCACAGTTCAAGTCCTGGACTTGGAGGCTTGCTTTCCCACTTTCCCTCTCTCTCTATCTCTGACTGGTGAGCTCACGTGCCCTACAGAAAATGTTTTAAATAACAAATAAATAAATAATAAATCTTTAAAAATGTGTATAATAATGATAGCAAAGTCCCATTGGTCAATCTTGATAGTGTCTTGAAGCACAATTTAGCTGAACACTGAGTAGACATAGGCTTTCTCAGTTCACATTTCTCTGCCCTCTTCAACAGGTTGGGTTAATCAAGCTGCTCCTTAATTGCAAATATTCTTATGTGAGATTAATTGAATGTTTTTACTATGTCTGAGCTCAATGTTTACATTTCATTCAACTACATTAAATCTGTAGACTGTAAGTTTTGTTTGACGTGAGATACGTCAATGAGGTTGTAAGAACTTATCTCCTCTCCCAATGTGGCTTTCCTACCTTGGGTTGATTCGGTGATCCTGAAAGCTCTTCATTTTCAAGTAAAACTAGTCTAATAAAGAGGAGGCAATCAGGGACAAAGAGGCTAATTCTCCTGCCCACTTTGCAAATTTATAAGGAATGATGAAACCAGGGAACTAAAATAATGGACCGATTTCATTCAGTCAAATGAGGCAACTCTTACAAATATTACCCTATGTCCTTAGAAGCTGATTTTTTTGTGTGTGTGTGGGAGAGGTTTTTTGCTTTCGGGTGTGTGCGCTCGCCAGCCAGACAGAGAGAGACAGAGAGACAGAAAGCGAGAAATCACCCCCCAGGGGGGATGGTCACCCCGCAATCCCTTCTCCTTCATTCTCCTCTCGGGATCTTGGGTACACACGCACACGCGCCTGGCGTGAGTTTAAGCCACTGGGTCCGGGACTCGAACTGCGGTCGACTATGTGGGAGTCCAGCGACTCCAGCCATTATGCCAACCGCTGGTCCCAACTATTTTGCACTTCATGTACTGTAAGATCGCTGTTGTATAACAGTTAAGCTCAGGGCCAGCAGAGGGCGAAACAGTTACATTGATGGGACCCCCCCTATGGCCCACAGCATTTTGAGTCCAGGACTGGTCACTTGGAAATCATACCGGGCATATGTGCCCAAGACCATGGGAAAAGAATAGAGTCCTCCCCCTCCATGAGCACACATGCCCTAAGGCGAAAACTTCTAAAACAAAACAAAACAACCCAAGCTCTGCAGTTATGGCACAGAAGTAATCACAGACAACGTGCAGAGCAAGGGGTGTGGTTCTGGTCCAATAACATTTTAGTTACAAAACAGGTGATGGGTAGATTTGTACTCAGTTCTTAGTAAAGTTTTTCTTTGCATTTTTTAATCCTTGTAGTTGCAAGAAGCACAGAAACGACAGGCAGAGGCTGTCAAATCTGCTGAGGAGATGCAAGATCCCATGCAAAAGTACAACTTAAAGCAGCATACAAAATTACTTGAGTATTTGTAATAAATTTAAGCACTGTAGTATGAGAATTACATCAGATATGATAAAATACTCCTGGGAAACTATGGAAATTCTTGAATTTAAGCTATTTGGAGGAGCCAGCAGGTGCTGGACTCTCACATCGTCAGTCATGGTTCAAGTCTGGGAACTAATGGTTTGCTTTCTCACTGTTCCCCTCTCTCTCTTTCTCTTGGGCTCTCTCTGGTGAATGCCTGTACCAAATTTTAAAAATAATAATAATGATGATAAATAAAAATTAATAATTAAAAATATATTTTGAGGGACCAGCAATTGGTATAATGGCTATGTCGCTGGACTCCTGCATAGTCACCCGTGGTTCAAGTCCTGAACCCAGTGGCTTAAACTCACACCTAGTGTGTGTGCGTGCGTGCCCAAGATCCCAAGAGGAGAATGGAGGACAAGGGATTGTGGCTTGGCCACCCCCCCATGGGAAGTGATTTCTTGCTTTCTGTCTCTCTGTCTCTCTTTGCCTTTCTGGTGAGTGCTTATGCCCTATAGCAAAAACCTCTCAAAAAATTTTTTTTTGAAATGTAGATATTTTTGCACATTGTTCCTGACTTTTTTTCACATTACCTACAAACATAGCTAGAAAAATGGGACATTCACCAAGTCATCTGTTTCTGAAACGTTTAAGAACTTGTGTAGGTCCAGAATAATGCCCTGCTCTGCAATGGTGGAGCCACTTGACTCCTTGGGGTTTGGATCTCCAGTTGATCTGAATCATGCAGGGGGCATACACTTGCATGTCTGTGATCCTGGCTAGCTACAGGGTTCCAGGCCAGCTAGAGGACTGGACGGGGACTGTGATGTGAAAAGACCATGTCTTGGGTTCCTGTCTCTCTCTCTTTTTCTCTATCTCAGTCTGTCTTTCTCTCATGAAAGAAATAAAACAACTTTTAAAAACGAATAATTACACCTAGAGAAATTATGTTTTTTTAAAAAATTTATCTGTGAGAATAATTATTTTAAAATATACATTTTAGGCTTGAAGGTGAAAATTTTGAGTTAAAAGTTACATTCAAAAAGCAAGCAAAAACTGAAAATCTTCAGGAGAACCAGGTAAGGACAAGTTCAGTAAGTTTATTTGTTAAGTTTCTGTTACACTGAAAATTTTTTAAAAAAAATTTTAGTAGTTGTATTCAAGAATATTTAAGACAATATAAAAAGTCCCATTGCTAAAAATATTTATTGTGTTTATATTGATACTGTTTGCTATTAGTGATAGAAGTCCTCTTAACTGTATAGAATTTGACTGAATTTACATAATCCATGATTTTCGTGGTAAAATTTTTATGAAAATGATTGTGATTACCTGAAAACAGTATTTGATATATGTCCCATGTTTATTTACTTACGTATTTATTTAATTATTTTTTGAAGAGATTTTTGTTATAGGGCATGTGCGCTCACTTGGAGAGACAGAGATAGATAGACAGAAAGCAAGAAATCACCCCATTGGGGAATGACCATGCAGCAATTCCTTCTCCTACATTCTCCTCTTGGGATCCTGGGCATGCACGCACAGGCACTTGGCATGAGTTTTAAATGGCTGAATCTGGGACTCAATCCGCAGTCAACCGTGGGAGTTCAGGGATGAAACTGCTACATGATCTGGTGGTGCCTATATGCCACATTTTGTGTGTCAATTCATACACTAATGACCATTTGGGTTATTTTTACTCTTTTGAGCAATAATTCTGCTATAGATATTGGTACATCTGTTGAGTCCCTGATAAGTATTTTATATCTTTAAAAATTTCCAAGAATTTGATTAATGAATTTATCCAGCATTCTGAATTTCTCTTGTAGTCTAAACCCTTCAGTGAGATTTTGAGAATGAATTACTTTTAATCTTATAATTTGAATTTCTCTTCAAGAGTACATCTTAGGTTCTTATACAAGTAGTTTTATTCTCAAAGGAATTTATTCTTCTTTTTGGAGTTTAAAAAATAAAAGAGATGTCAGTACCACAATGGAAGTGCTGTCCCATCAAGGCCTCACAGAGTAACTAGCGCTCCTGGCACTGCAGATTCAGGGACTGATATTTTCTCACTCACCTGTATTCATCAACCCTTCAAAGGCTTAACAGTACACTCTTTGGTGTATAATCCAGCAGACCATTTTTACCAATGCATAGTGAATGCTATATTCATAACTATTCACTAACCAGAACAGGAGTCTCCTGTCATTTATACTTTGCGTTGTAGGAATTAAGATCAGAAGATTGATACCATGAGGCTGAAGACAAAAGTCTGATTCTTTTTTTCCCCCAAAAGTCAAAGAAAAAACCCTTCCAAAGGGCATGGGGGAGAGTCATACCCACACACATTACCAGACCATTTTTCCCATTGACTATAGGATTCTTCCTACAGCCTATCCCTGGCATAGTATCTTTGAGCTATATATTAAACCTGTTACAGTATGTTCTTAAATCTCTTCCCAAGACACAGGTCTTCCCTTCCAATCACCAACCTAAACACTGTGAAACACACCTATAACCTAAAGTGCCCCACTCCCTGCTTTTAGATGTCCTATCCTCTTGGACCTGGGCCAATGGAAAAAGTATTTCCAAGCCTTTGCTCCTTGTTTTCAAAACTTAATAAAAGGAGGGACCAGCAGTTAGCATAATGGCTATGTTGCTGGACTCCCACATAGTCGACCACAGTTCAAGTCTCAGACCCGGTGGCTTAAAACTCACACCGGGCGCGTTGTGCGTGCGTGCCCAAGATCCCGAGAGGAGAATGGAGGAGAAGGGATTGCAGCGTGGCCATCCCCCCTGGGGGGTGATTTCCTGCTTTCTGTCTCTCTATCTCTCTCTGTCTGTCTGGCGAGCGCACGTGCCCTATAGCAAAAAACCTCTCCAAAAGAAAAAAAAAACTTAATAAAAGGATACCCTGTATCAGAACCCTGAAAATGTCATGTTTACCTTTCTCTGGGTCAGTCACACATATTCATGTTTAGAAATAAAACACATTATTATTTCTGCAGATTTGGTCATTTCTGTCAAGAAGGCAGATGCTGCTAACTAATTTCAGTAAGTCGTTCAGCAGCTCCATTACACAGATTCACCTGTCAGGGGAACTAGAGCATTTGGTTGACCGATCTTTTCCTTTTTCATGTCAAATACATTAAAAAGTATTTTTTGTCGATTTTAAATAAACGAGTCCCCATTTTATTAGCATACTTTCATACAAGTAACATGTTGATAAAGAAGCTTTCTGTGAGTGAGAGAGCCAGGGGACATCCTCTGACATAAATGTTAAGAATGGAAAACATTTAAGAGTATCCAAAACTTAATAAACTGATGCAAAAATAACAAAGGGCCCAGTCATGGTATCGCATGTTGGCAGTCACTACTGCTTTGTAGGCAGAGGCCACATGAGAGTCCTAGGTTCATTTCGTCACCCGCCCTACAAGCTGGACATGGTGGTGTATACCTTTAGTCCCACCTTCTCTGGAGGCTCAGTAGGAGAATTGTGATATATGGAAATCCTAACCAAAAAAAAAAAAAACTTAGGGATTTTCTGTATATTCCATGCAAATGCATTAGGAACATGACATAGAATTATTAGCCCCTTTGAAGTCTATTTTGGGAGTTAAAAATATAATAAAATGCAGCATTAGTCCCTATCTTTTCCAAAAGCTTCTCATCTCTTGAAACCTTAGGCTAGAGACTTCGTGAGTGAATAGATAATATGAACACAATTTTGAACTGCCTGAGAAAAAGAAATAACAGTGATTAACCTCAAGCTTCCAAATATAACTGAGTGTTTTATGAAAGGAATTTAGTATGTTGGGGCCAGTAAATGTCATGGTGGCTATGGTGCTGGATTCACACGTGGCCAACCACTGTTCAAGATCCGGACCTGGCTGCTTACTTTGTCTCTCTTTCTCTCTCTCTCTCCTCTCTCTTTCTGGTCAAATTTTAAAATAATGATAATAAACAAAGTTAAATAAATCTTTAAGGAAAAAAACAGAGCAACATATCTGTAAGATCATATTTGTATGAAAAAGGAAATTGTTCAGAATAAAACAAGGACAAGCAATTGCTCATCTGACCCTTGTGAAACAGTTTGGATTATAAAAGAAAGACAAGGCAATGTTTGCCTGCAAACATCCTGTGTGAGGGTGCCTTCAGAGGTTAGAGAATACACTACACTCAAAATAACACCAATAAGGGAACCAGCAGTTGGCGTAATGGCTATGTCGCTGGACTCCCACGTAGTCGACCGCGGTTTGTGTCCCGGACCCGGTGGCTTAAAACTCACGCCGGGCGCGTGTGCGTGCGTGCCCAAGATCCCGAGAGGAGAATGGAGGAGAAGGGATTGCGGCGTGACCATCCCCCCTGGGGGGTGATTTCTCGCTTTCTGTCTCTATGTCTCTCTCTGTCTGTCTGGTGAGTGCACACGCCCTACAGTGAAAATCTCTCAAAAAAAAATATCACCAATAAGAACTAAAACGAATGTAGATGAACCAGCTTCAAAGGATGAATATGGAAGATCTACTGCTGAGTGAAGCAAGTCAGGTTATGAAGGAGAAACACTGTATGTCTCCACTTATTATATACCCCCTCCCCATACTCCATGGCCCAAACTGAATGACTAGAGGATATAGAAACATAGAAAATGGTTATAGATACCAGGTTCAGTGTGGGCAGAGAATGGATGAACAAGGAGAGTCTGAGGAAAGACGTTAAAAAGAAAAAAGAGAGGCAAGACATTTATGGAACACAGAAATGGGTTACTATCTGTCGATGATAATCTGTATAGGATTCCCAGCTGGAATGCTGAGAACTGTATTCATTTGGAACATTCATTTTACAAGCTAAGAGACATATGCGATTAGACGTATAAAAGGAATTAAAATAAAATAAAATAAAATAAAATGAGTAATCCACACCAAGAAGTGGGTTATGAGTGTGTGCTTGAGGAGTCTGTCTGTGAGAAGTGAAGTAGAAGGATGAGATTCATGAACAAATGACTTAAAAGAGCCCAGGGCTGGAAATGCAGATTAAGGAATCTGATTTGGAGCCTTGAGATTGAAGGAACTCTGGGATCATTTAAAGGAGGAATAGAAAGGGACAGGACTGAGCATCGGGGATTGCTGCATTTGGAAATGAAGTGAGAGTAGAGCAGCAGAAGGAGGAGAAAAGACCAGAAGTGATTAAGTATTGGCAATAGATCTGTGGATGAGGAAATAAACTTGCAAATGACACTATGCATTCAAGAATATTAGAAACAGGCTGATAAAAAAAGACGGGGCCAGCAGCTGGTGTGGTGGTTAAGGACACTGGACACGAATGTGGCCATGGTTCTAGTCCCAGACCCCGGTGGCCTGCTTTCACACTTTCCCCCTCTCTCTGTTGCTCTCTCAGTCTCTCGCTCTGTCCTTGTTTGGTCAAATTAAAATAAGTAAGTAAATCAGGACTAGCAGTTAGCGTAATGGCTGTTGCTGGACTCCCATGTAGTCAACCACGGTTCGAGTCCTGGACCCGGTGGCTTAAACTCACACCGGGCATATGTGCATGTGTGCCCAAGATCCCGGGAGGAGAATGGAGGAGAAGGGATTGCAGCGTGGCCATCCCCCCTGGTGGGTGATTTCTCGCTTTCTGTCTCTCTGTCTCTCTCTGTCTTCCTGGTGAGTGCACGCACCCTGTAGCAAAAAACTCTCCAAATATAAATAAATAAATAAATAAATAAAACTAAATACAATGGTTCTTTAAAAAAATAAACAGGTAGAAGTTATATTTTTGTATGTCAATGAAAAGACTATGTGTATAAGATCTATTTAAAACAGAAATGAATTACGTGTTTAGCCTTGGGTCTTATCTTCAAGAGACCTAATTATCTATATGCACACATTCTAAAATCTGACATATTCTAACATCTGACATCTAAAACACTTTGATTCCAAGCATTTTGTGCAATGATGCTTAGCTTAAAGTCCTGATAAATAACATTTTTTACAAAGAAAAGAATCTCCAGATTTTAATAAATAATTTTCTTTGAAAATGTTTTCAAAGGCTAAGGATGAAAACGAACAATTAGAGAAACTTACTAAGTTAAAACAATCTCTGGAATATAATTTGGATCAAGAAATAAAGAAAAATGGTGAATTAGAGAAAGAAAGAACTGGGTAAGATTTTACCGTTTCAGATCATTTTAAACATTCATTAATTGATTCAATTATGAGTTTACTTCATTCTTCTAAGACCTAAATACAAATTCATTGTATATGAGCATTTTCATAATTAAAAACAATTCTATTTTAATATTTACTTCAGAAGTTCATAGTATAACACAAAACTATTTTTGAATGTGGAAATATTATATTTACTCTTTAATGGTTTAGAAAATAGTAACAATAATGCCTTTATAATGTCACCTGTACTCTTCATCATCTCTCTTGAATTTTTATTCCTGAAGACATTTTTGCTCTGTTTGGTAATTTTTTCTTATTTTGTCAGTGTCCTTCCCCTTCAGCATTAAAATATCATAATATCTAGAAACCTATCTTATTCTTAAACTTAATTATTATTTTTTTTTTTTAGTTTTGCTATGGAATGTGTGTGCTTGCCAGAAAGAGACAGAGAGAGGGAACGTGAGAAAGTACACACCCCAGGAGAGATGGCTACACTGCAACAAACCCCTTGTACTCCACTGTCTTCTCAGGATTCTGGGCACACACACATTTGCAGCTGGCATATTTTCTGAGCTGCTGGGTCCAGAACTCCAATCCTGCAGACAGTCATGTGGGATCCAGCAGCCTTAACCACACTACCCCTGGACCCCAAAATTATTTTGTTTGATCTGTATTTTCTTTCTGTCTCTTTCTTTTTGTAGTTATTATTTAGATATTTATGGAAATTTAGTCATTTTCCATGGGTCCCTCTCATATGTGTATGAGGTATATATATTATTAAACTTCTCTTTGTTTAAAAAGATTTAGGCACACATGTATATACTATATATATACTATATATAGTATATACATATATACTATATACACATATCATACTATAGTGTGTATATATATATATGGAAACATGTATATATTGTACATAGGTATCCTACGTAGAAAATATGTATAAAATGAGCAGTTGTGTTTCTACCATCCAGCTTTCTTTTTGAAGTGTAATGTCTCTCTATGCCTTTGGAACTTCAGAGATACTTTTATATTTATTGGCCTAGTACTTAAGTTTAATCACTGATTCTAATCAATTATTTCCCTCTCATTTAATTGTCTTTCTCTACTTGTTTTTGCACTCCTTTCATTTTGTTACCATTGTGTCTCAAAGAGCTCTAGATCTCTCCTTAAGACAGTTTTTTCAGGGAACCAGCAGTTAGCGTAATGGCTATGTCGCTGGACTCCCACGGAGTCGACCGCGGTTCGTGTCCCAGACCCACTGGCTTAGACTCATGCTGGGCGCGTGTCTGTGTGTGCCCAAGATCCCGAGAGGAGAATGGAGGAGAAGGGATTGTGGCATGGCCATCCCCCCTGGGGGGTGTTTTCTCGCTTTCTGTCACTCTGTCTCTATGTCTGTCTGGTGAGTGCACGCGCCCTATAGCAAAAATATCTCCAAAAAACCCCAAAAACAGTTCTTTCAGTCTTCCCACATTATCTTGCACCTGATTTCCTTCTTAACCTCTGCCCGTTACCTTTTCCCACTGACCTCAACCTTGAGAGATGGTTTTGCTCTGACTCACCTACATTGCATGATCTCCTTTATGTATCTGGTTTGTACTTTCTTTACTTCCCTTTAACCATTGTCAGTGGGCACCAAAATGTATTTTTGTATCTTTTTAAAATATTTGTAAGTAACTGTAGTTTTACTCTTCTCATTCTCATAATGATCTCTGCGTTATAGCTAATGTCTAGTGGTGGAGTGTTTTATATTAATATTACCATACTAAAACAGATATTTTACTTGTAAGAACTTGGTATATGGTAACAGTATTAGTTCTTCACTTACAACATATCATACAAATTTTCTTTGTATTATTTACTCAGGATTCTAATTGAGTTAGAATGCTTTAAAACAATGCTATGTTGAAACAAATGAGAGAAGATTGTAATTTATAGATTGTTTCTCTTCTGTAATAGAACATAGTATCTATAATTCTATAAGTTACTCTTTAAAAAGCTTGACTGAGCTCATACTGAATGTTCCTACAGATTGAAGAAACTCTTGGAAATGACAAGAAAGAAATTAAATGAATATGAGAATAGAGAAATTAGTTTCCAAGGAGATTTAAAACCTAGTCAATCCGAAATGGGTATTCAAGTTAATATGCAAGAACATCAGGTAAATATTTTTTGATCAGTTTTGGGACCAAAAAGAAAAAAAATCACTTTATTTTGGGAAATAGAAATATTTCAGTGCTTTGAGCAGTGAAATAAAGATTTTTGTTTTAATTTTATAGAAAGGGTACCAACGATGGGACCAGCAGTTAGCGTAATGGCCATGTCACTGGACTCCCACGTAGTTGACCGTGGTTCGAGTCCCAGACCCGGTGGCTTAAACTCACACCGGGCGCGTGTGTGTGCGTGCCCAAGATCCCAAGAGGAGAATGGAGGAGAAGTGATTGCGGCATGGCCATCCACCCTGGGGGGTGATTTCTCGTTTTCTGTCTGACTCTCTCTGTCTGGCTGGCGAGTGCACGTGCCCTATAGCAAAAACCTCTCCAAAAAAAGAAAAGAAATGGTACCAGTGAAGAAGACAGCTTTTAAATTTTTTATTTTATAATTTCATATTAAAGATAACTTTTTGATGCATAATTTGTCTCTAATAAAGGTTTACTTTTGATTCTAATGTCTTGAAATCTTGCCAATGATCTAAAGCCGAGTAGGGCACCATTACATGACCTCAGATCAACAGCATCAAATCAGTATTTCGGTAATATCTTCATTGAGATATAACTGACATACCATGCAATCCACTCATTTAACATATACTATTTAGTGGCTTTCAGTATATTTACAGAGTTATGCATTTACTACCACAATCAATTTTACAACATTTTTATCACTTTAAAGAGAAATTCCAGGCCTTTAGCCATTCCCATTAGTTACCCTGCTCAGCCCTAGGGAACCAACAATCTGGTTTGTCTCTATAGACTTACCAGTTCTAGATATTTTGCACTAATTGAATCACACAATATGTGGTCTTTTGTGACTGGTTTCTTTCATTTAGCACAATGTTTTCTCTGCCCATCTCTGTCGTAGCATGTATCAGTACTTCGTTTCTTCTTCTTTTTTTTTTTTTTTTTGGGAGGGTTTTTTGTATA